ATCTCTTGACCTCGTGATCCACCCGCCTCGGCCTCCCAAAGTGCTGGGATTACAAGCGTGAGCCACCGCGCCTGGCCTTTTTTTTTTTATTTTTGTTTTTTTTTGAGATGGAGTCTTACTCTCTTACCCAGGCCATAGTGCACTGGTGCAATCTCAGCTCACCGAAGCCTCCACCTCCCAAGTTCAGGCAATTCTCCTGCCTCGGCCTCCCAAGTAGCTGGGATTACAGGCACCCATCAACATGCCCAGCTAATTTTTGTATTTTAGTAGAGACAGGGTTTGCCATGTTGGCTAGGCTGGTCTTGAGCTCCTGACCTCAAGTTTTATCTGCCTGCCTTGGCCTCCCAAAGTGCTGGGATTACAGGTATGAGTTACCGTGCCCGGCCAGAACGTTCTACAACAGTGGAAATATTCTGGATCTGCTATCCAGTACAGTAGCCTCTAGCCACATGTGGCTGTTGAAAACTTTAAATATGACTAGTGCAATTAAGGAGCTTAATTTTTTTTTAATTTTAGGCCAGGCCTGTAATCTCAGCACTTTGGGAGGTGGAGGCAGGTGGGTTACTTGAGGTCGAGCATTTGAGACCAGCCTGGCCAACATAGTAAACTACTAAAAATACAAAAAAAAAAAAAAAAAATTAGCATGGTTGCACGCACCTGTAATCCCAGCTACTCAGAAGGCTAAAGTAGGAGAATCTCTTGAACCTAGGAAGTGGACGTCGCGGTGAGCAGAGATTGCACCACTGCACTCCAGCTTGGGCAACAGAGTAAGACTCCATCTCAAAAATAAAGAAAATTTACTTTTAATTTGGGCTGGGTGTGGTGGCTCATACCTGTAATCCCCTCCCACCTGCCTTTGGGAGGCCAAGGCAGGTGGATCACCTGAGGTCAGGAATTCCAGACCACCTGGGCAACATGGTGGAAACCTGTCTCTACCAAATAAGCTGGACATGGTGGTAGCACCTGTAATCCCAGCTACTCGGGAGGCTAAGGCAGGAGAGTTGCTTGAACCTGGGAGTGAGGGTGCAGTGAGCCAATACAGAGTCACTGCACTCCATCCTGGATGACACAGCAAGACTGTCTCATTTAATTTAAATAGTCAGATGTAGCTAGAGGCTGCCTTATACAGCACAACTCTAGAGTGAAAACAATCACATAGTTAACTTTTTAAGAGACAGGGTTTCTCCATTTTGGTCAGGCTGGTCTCGAACTACCTTACCTCAGCTCTTCCTCCCACCTCGGCCTCCCAAAGTGATGGGATTACAGGCGTGAGCCACTGCATCCGGCCTGTAGTTGACATCCTTAGGTTTCCTGTGAATATTAAAGGCCAGTATTGGTGGCAGTGAAGGATTGGAATGGGCAAAGAACTTCCCAGCAGTGTACAGATCTCCTTTTATAGCACAAAGCTTGGGAGAATAAATATATGCAGGATAACTGAATGCAAGGGACTTCTGGAATGCAGTCCTAGCCTCATAATTGTGTGTTAATTAGGGTAGTGACAGGACAGGTGTTTATGGTTGGTTACACCTACTTATGCTAGATGCATAATGTTTGGTGCCTTCCCTACTGATTAGAAGCAATTTATGATCTGGTGCTAGAAAGTTAATAATGCTTCACAACATCCTTTTGAGAGGTATGATTAGAAAACACACACATAGGCCGGGCGCGGTGGCCCATGCCTGTAATCCCAGCACTTTGGGAGACCAAGACAGGCACATCACTTGAGGTTGGGAGTTTGAGACCATCCTGGTCAACATGGTGAAACCCCGTCTCTACTAAAAATACAAAACATTAGCTGGGCATGGTGGCGCGTGCCTGTAATCCCAGCTACTCAGGAGGTTGAGGCAGAATTGCCTGAACCCAGGATGCGGAGGTTGCGGTGAGCCGAGATCGCGCCATTGCACTCCAGCCTGGGTAACAAGAGTGAAACTCCGTCTCAAAAAAAAAAAAAAGAATTTATTTTCTTTTACATTGACTGGTGGCTTTTATGGATAATCAGGTTTGCTAAGACCTTGGTTTTGTTCGGGGCTATTGCTGTCCCTTTTTCCTTTGAAGGAATTTAATTCTCTGAGATGTAGTCTTAATGATATTCTTTTGAGAACAAATTCTTTAAACTACTCTGTCTCTGAAGTGTGTCCCTGTCCTCATACATGGCCCTGAGTTTTGTCATTACAGCTCATCTGAATAATTCTGACAAGTTTGGCTGACGCTCTGTGGAGATACATTTGATTTACATGTTTATTTTGAATTTAAGGTCATCATACTATTTTAAAGGAGCTGTTTGCAAGGCCTGGCATGGAATTAAGGATTTTTAAGAAACAAAAGGAGATTTGACTTTCTTTTGTTTATTTACATCTTAAGGTAAAAAGTGGACCGTCTGGAGATAGATTCTCAGAGGAAAAATGGAGCACACCAGCCTCTTTGAGAAATCAATCTTGTTCTTAAGTCACAAGAACTCAAGTGAACTTGTAATTTAAGTTTTGCCTAGAGTGTGATGAACTCTTCCTTTGGTGTTTGAGTAAGCCTTTGAAGACAGTGCTAGTTCGTGGGCAGGTATGAATCAAGTCATATAATTGTCAACCTGTAGTTCAAAAGCAGTACAATCCAGATTGAACTATAGAAATGTTCTTACTAAAACTTTCAACTGGCAGTGTATGACTTCTGTAGCCAAACTAGTGAGGTAATTTGTGGAGATGCCCATTTCATGAGACCACACTAGAGCTTCTTGAAGTTTCTACTCTGGATCAAAATTCTGCTTCTTGTATAACATGTTCTGAGGCAAAGGCTTGCTTCTGGTTTGGGGTCCTTATGACACCCACAGCAGGTTTATCTCCCTTCGCACCAGCATCTCACTTGCTGCTTTTTCTCTGCACTTTGAGTTGCCAAATCCTGTTGGATTGCTTTTTTGATCTCAATCCCCTAACACCTTTTCTTCCAGAAGAGCTTAAAGCAGCGCCTGGGTAAGAGTAACATCCAGGCACGGTTAGGCCGACCCATAGGGGCCCTGGCCAGGGGAGCAATCGGAGGACGAGGCCTACCCATAATCCAGAGAGGCTTGCCCAGAGGAGGACTACGTGGGGGACGTGCCACCAGAACCCTGCTTAGGGGCGGGATGTCGCTCCGAGGTCAGTGCTGTGTACCCTGATAACTGTCAGGCCCTACTCCCTTCCCTTTTCTCTTGGGCTGCTTATGGACACATTCGTTTAACATCTTTAAGCCTGAATTTGTATTACTATAATAACTTTTGAAGTCACATATTTTTAATAGTGCTGCATGTCTTTTATCGATACCATTCCTTTTCTGATAATGTGCAATGGTGAGAGGCTATGACCTGAGTAACAACAGGTAATTCATGTCATCTCCATTCCATTTTAAAACACCCTGCTGCTGCTTGAATCAAACCATATTCAAGTTCTAGAAGTAAGTCAAATGTAAGAAACTTAGGTCTTTTGGCCTATGTTCACTCTTTGTTCCTGGTGCTAGTAAAACACTGATACAGCTGGAGAAAGAGGACAAGTTGACCCATAGCACTTACTTATATACATTTATTTGGGGCACTCTTCTTCTGTTCCCTATATAGTTCTTATTCCCTAGAAGAATGTGTTGAGATCAGGAACCATAGCATTTATTTTTAAATTTACCACAATGCTAGGCATCTGATTGTTCAACAGATATTTATTGAATGTATGTACTTCTTAATTGAATTAATTCCCAACTTATTCCGAAAATGGATTTGTGGTCAGACGTGTTGAATTGATTGGATAAAGAGCAGCTTAATCTGTTCACACTCAGTATGCAGCTTACCCCAACCAACCTAAAAACTAACTGAATTACCCTCATTTAACCCTCACCTCCTTCCTTTGGTTAGAATCTACTTTGTGTCTCTTGGATTTACCTGCCTATACATTGTATGCCTCCTCTCCAAGGTCAAAACCTGCTCCGAGGTGGACGAGCCGTAGCTCCCCGAATGGGCTTAAGAAGAGGTGGTGTTCGAGGTCGTGGAGGTCCTGGGAGAGGGGGCCTAGGGCGTGGAGCTATGGGTCGTGGCGGAATCGGTGGTAGAGGTTAGTCAGCTACCAACTTCAGAGAGTAGCTCCCCCTTATTTTCCTCCCTTAAAAACTCAGAGCCACCTTTCTGCACAGCTTCAAGTCATAGGCAGGCTTCTTTGTTTGTCTTGTTTTGTTATTTGAAACTGGCTTATTTTTCGAATTCCCATGCTGGTAGTGCAAAAGTCTCATGATTTTTCCAGGAATCAATCAAGTGCATATTACAGAGCCAGATTATATGCTGTCGTCTTCCGGGTTCTTGCAAATTTAAATTGTACAGTTAAAAATACCCCCTAAAATGGTCACTTTAGGATTTTACCTTCCTCTGTCCCTGCCCCACCACCACACACTACTCTGTAGCTCCAAATCCTGGTTTGAGTCACTTGAGAATATAGAAGAGAGAGAGATACAAAGATGAAGCAGAGTTAAGAGGGTGGTGAGACTTGGAGCTGGACATTGGCTCTGAAACCAAATAAATTCAGTGTCAAATTTGTGCCTGTGGAGAACCAGAGATGACTTTTTTTGCTCAAGGTAGAGAGCAAGATGGAATTATTATCAGTTAACACACTGGCTCTTGTTAATCTTGCCTTTGAAATTTATTGATGTTTGTCTCGTGACCTGTGACCCAGATTAGGATAGAGTTTAATGGTGTTGCTGCTAATACTAAATCTCATGGGAGCCTTCTGGTTTAGAGTTCAGTGGAAAACTCCCAACAACACCTGTCAAGGAAAAAAAACACTCCTGTTGTTCCTGTGTATATTTGCTTTGGTTCTCTTAAATGGTGTTGGAGATCTTCCATAACTTAGGACCTTGAAATTGCCAAGGAATAATAACCGTTAGGAAAGAAAAGTCGATAACCAAGGGCTTGTTTTCTTCTCTCCTATTATATGCTACTTGGCTTATTGAATGAAGTACAAGCTAGTTTGGGTTTCAGGATAAAATAGCATGTTTGCTAACTGAATTCAAACTGCTTCTCAGATAACCACAATTGTCAGTTGTCATAAGGTAAATAGAATTAGAGGTAGAAATAGCTGGGACAACTCAAAATATTTTTTCTTTTTTTTTTTTTTCTCTTTTTCTTTTCTCTTTCTTTTTTTTTTTTTTTTTTTTTGAGACGGGTTCTCGCTATGTTGCCCAGGCTGGAGTGCAGTGGCTATTCACAGGCGTGATCCCACTACTGCAGAATATTTTTTCAAGTCTCCTACATTGTTCCTGTGTGAGAAAAACTACTCAGTCTCCTGACACATGAGGTCAACTAGCTTATTAGACTTGATAAGTTTAAGGAAAGATGAGATAACTTTCCAGAAGGGTTTCCAATAAACTTAATTTGGAAACCATCTTACCTTTACACCCCTGATTACCTGTACCTTTGTTACCACCTCCCTGTCTTACTAAACAGGGTTATCGTGTATTTTAATTATGAACTTAGTGAATCTCAAATGTTAGGTAGTTTTATCTTAAGTTCAGTTAAGGGTTGTTTTGTCTTTTTTTAACTATAGTTGTCAGTGAATTATTTTCCTTTTTTGATAGAATAAAAATTGTTCATTAGAGATGATCATGTGACAAGGGATCCATTATGTGTGCTTTCCATGTGTTGCTTTCTACCCAGTGTGTTTCCTGTTTTTCCAGATTTCTCCTCTTTGCCCTGCCCTTCAGCTTTTCTCAGCTAGGCCCCACTACTCTAAGGGGCATTTACTGTAACATCTATTAAACTTACTTGTAACTGTCTCTTTTTTTTTCTCCTTTGGGCCAGGTCGGGGTATGATAGGTCGGGGAAGAGGGGGCTTTGGAGGCCGAGGCCGAGGCCGTGGACGAGGGAGAGGTGCCCTTGCTCGCCCTGTATTGACCAAGGAGCAGCTGGACAACCAATTGGATGCATACATGTCGAAAACAAAAGGACACCTGGATGCTGAGTTGGATGCCTACATGGCACAGACAGATCCCGAAACCAATGATTGAAGCCTGCCCACCCTCCCGTGAGAGACTCTTGTTAGTCGACACGTCTGTAAATAACCTTGAAATAACAGATAAGAAATCTGATTGATGCTGGATGGACCTATCACAATAGGCTGTGGACTTACTTGTCACCAGCTTGTGCATTTAGTGTGTTCCTTTTACTTTTTGATACTGTATTGTATGAAGCCCTTTTGTCCTTTGATTTGTTTGGTTTTTTTTTTTTTTAAGGGTGGGGTATTTTCCCCTCCTTTACCCAGAACTTCTCTTTGAACACAAATGCATTAGCCTTGTGGCTAGAACACCCTTTTCCTACCTCTGCCTTCCCTCACTTAATGCTCTGACATGCTAATATTACTTTTGTTGATCTCTGTTGCCCCCACAGAAAGGTCCCAGAAAAAAAAGTGTTCCTCCCTGATGCTTAGATTTCTGAGGTAGGGTTCTGTTACATCCTCTTCAATAGCCTCTTTAAAATGTTAAGAAAGTCTGGAGCCCAAAAGTGCATTCTTCCACATTGACAATTTAGTAAATTGAGAACATATGACATCACTTCAGGGCAGCATAAGAGGTTGCTTACATGTGGTAGCAGCTCTGATTTGATCAAAGTTGCTACCATGTACATTGACACCACATATAACCAGCATGCTGGGTTGAATCATACTAGATTTCTACCCTTGTATGAGATTTACACACTTTCTCTTGGCTTTGTATCATGTCCAGAAGGGTACTATAGGGTTAGTTTATACCTACAATATAGAGGAAGAAGCCATTTAATTTGGCAGGTGTGTCAGAATGGAGAATGATGGTGGATGAAGTGCTGGCAGAGGTCAGAAAATATCCATGCTAAAATGTAATTATCCTCATGTTTATCCCAAACCAGTCTCGGACTTTTCCACTCATTAGCTTTATTTTACCCTCATTTCCCCTGAAAGTTTAAGTTCAACCAATTGTCAACTGTTGCAGTTTCAGTGGAATCTTGTATTTCTGGTTCATTGTAACAAATTGTTTGCTCAAATCCACCCAGTCCTCTCTTTATTTGGAGCGCCTCAAAATGCTGTGGCTACTTTAATGATGTCTTTTTTGAGACGGAGTCTTGCTTTGTTGCCAGGCTGGAGTATAATGGCATGATCTTGGCTCACTGCAACCTCTGCCTCCCAGGTTCAAGCAATTCTCCTCCCTCAGCCTCCCAGTTAGCTGGTACTACAGGCGCATGCCAGCACACCTAGCTAATTTTTGAGTTTTTAGTAGAGACTGGGTTTCACCATGTTGGCCAGGATGGTCGCCATCTCTCAACCTCATGATCCACCCGCCTCGGCCTCCCAAAGTGCTGGGATTACAGGTGTGAGCCACTGTGCCTTGCCACTTTAATGATGTCTTTATATACCCCTTGGATGGTTGAGAGAGTCTTTGTCTTCCTGCTTGTGTTAAAATTCTGGAGAGACTGTGGCTTCAGCAGAAAGTGAAGAATTTGACTTCCTCTGAGCCCTGCAGAAATAATAGCATGCCCACAAAAAAAGCAAGATCATCTTGGGCAACATTCTGGGCCCTTGGACCCTGGCACATAATTCCTGTGTTGCTTAAAGAGAAAAGGACCTGGTAGTGCCAGGCTAGTTGTCACTGGGCTGCCTTTCACCCTAAACTGCTAGGAGGTTGTAGAAGTTTTGTCAGGACAATCTCAACTTGAAGCCTGACTCTGTGATGTGGGTATCTGAAAGTCCCAAGGGAGAAGGGCAGTGGGGGTCTGGCAGAGGGCTACAGTGACCTCAACTGAACCCCCAGTTTTGTTCCCTCTATCGTTTCCAATGCTAAAGCACAAGGACTTTCCTCTCCCTGAATCCTCAATAAGTACAAAATGCTGGTCTCCCTCCCCAGAGGAGACTGAGGCTCAAGAGTTCTCTATAAAGGAGGTACTGTCACAGCTTAGGCTTCCTTTCTGCCTCTGTGTCTCCTGCCTCATGCAAGAATTCATCCCCAGCTCCCAGCGGGGCACAGGGAACTCTCCTATCGGCCAAGGGTCCTCCAGCCCCACCTGCTCACTGCAGTTCGCAGGATCTCCTGAGGCCCCTGTCCTTATCATCTTGAGTCACATGTAGTGTGGGACAGGGTGAGTAAACCTGGTCTCTGGGTCAGCCTTTCATTCAGCTGCCATGTGCTGAGGGCTTGCCATACCAACAGAAGGTATCCTTTGTTAAGGGTGACATTGGGAGCACAGGAAAGAGGCTGATGAGCTGGATCTTATAAGGGAAAGTTTAGAGACAAGAATATACCACGCAGAGGGAACCAAGTGTAAAGGTAGACTGCTAAAAGAACATCTGAGGTAGGATGGAAGACTACAACTGACAAGATGTAGGTTGAAGCCACTGCTAAGAGCTTGGACTTTATGCTTCATCAGTGGAGAGAGAAGGATTTTAAGCAGCATAGGACGACGTGATTTACATAATACTGGTGAGAGGGATAAGGTCCCAGCTACTCACCATGGCCCTCAGTCCTTGGAAGTCCTCAACGGCAGTACTTTCTTCCTATCCTCCAGGCTCCCTGGTGCCTTGTCAGGCAATTTCAGCTAATATCACCCAGCAAGAGGTGAGCAGCACCCAGATAAACACTAAGTGGAGCAGGCCTGGGAAGGAGATAAGGGACCCCGAGGGGCAAGGACCTGGGGAGAAGTCCTGGCCCCTGTACCCCCTCTCTTCCATGGGCTGTCCTTTCCCACTGCAGCCCAGTCCTCCCTCTGATTGTCTAGGGAATGTGTGAAGGGCAAGGTTGTCCAAGACTCCATTTCCTTGGGCTCTGGCAACCTCTTAAGTACTGACATGCTCGTCCTCCATCCCAAACACATGTACAGACAGGGTTGCCACAGTGGAGGTGGATCTTGTGGCTTCTGACCTCAGACCATCCCGACACCACCCATCCAGTCTCTTACTAGAAATCACTATATCTCCAGACTTTAGTTCCGTCTCCCAGTTTTTACCTGGATATGTCAGTAGAGGAGGTGGGCCTTAGGCCAGGCGCGCAGTGGCTCATGCCTGTTACCCCAACACTGGGAGGCGTAGGCGGGCAGATCGCCTGAGGTCAGGAGTTTGAGACCAGCCTGAGCAACATGGAGAAACCCCATCTCTACTAAAAATACAAAATAGCCGGGCACAGTGGAGCATGCCTGTAATCCCAGCTACTCTGGAAGCTGAGGCAGGTGAAATGCTTGAACCCGGTAGGTGGAGATTTCGGTGAGCCGATATCACGCCATTGCACTCCAGCCTGGACGCCAATGAAATTCTGTCTCAAAAAAAAGGTCCTGCTACTATGAATAAATAGCTCCATGGACCCAGCAGGGGTGAGGGTAGAGGCTCTTAGTTATGCCTGGGTGGGCTCTCCCACCTGCATCATACCCTGGCTAGTGACCCAGTCGGGTGTGCTGGGGACTCTGGCTGACCACCTGTTCCAGGGTCAAGGAAGGAAGGAGAGGGGAGCACCATGAAGCAGGGCAGGATGACTCCTGGAAGTGGAGACTGAGGCCCTGGACAGCTCTGGGACCCATAATGATGGCAGCAGCCCCCAGTCATGGGACTCACCGTGTGGGCAGCCTGGGACAGCTAAGATCCCCATGAGGTCTCTTTAAAGGATTCACTCAATGCTGCATTTAGGCTTGGCTTGTTTAATTTCTTTAGCCTTTAGTGTAAGGCGATTATCAGCTCAAGATTTAAACACATCCATGTGGAGATGGGGAAAGGAATTCCCTCAGAAAGTCCTAAAGCTTTCCCTTTTGGATTTTAATTCAAAGCACATATTCTCAAGGAGTTTCATTTCAAGAGAAAAGCCGGCTCAGACAACAGAGAAAGGAGTTAGAGGAAAGGTAGATGGGAAAGATAGAAGAAAGGCCCCTAATGCTTTCCTCAGCACTGCCAAGCCCAGGACCTCACCCTCAGCCTGACCTCTTTGTGATAAGCAGGAGTCCTGGGGTCTGGCCAGAGAATTCACCCATGGGGGATGTAGGGGGATGGCAGCTCTCCAGGAGCACCAGATAAGATAGCTAGAACCACAGACCTGACTGCCTGCCCTAACCCCTCCAGCTCCTACCTCTGCTGCTGCCCTTCCAGCTCCTCTGCTAAAGCATCATAAGGCTCCCCAGAGGTCTGGCCTCACAGAAAGCAGGATGAACCAGGATTATCCTCATCTCTCTCCTTTAGAGCTCATAGAGGCGCACAGAAGTCTGATTCTCAGGTCTTCCTCCCCAGTTAAAGGCATTAGCAGATGCCATTCTGTGAACCCTCTCTCCCACAAGAAAGGCCGCCTTTTTTTTTTATAATTTTCAAAAATTGCCAATGCTGACTATATTTCAAGTCGTCATGGCAGGGTATTGGGAAAAGTCTTTGATTAGCAATAATCGCACCTCAGATAAACCTCTTTGGCTACGATACTGCCACTGCGCAAAGCTAAGAAAGGCCTTCCTCTAAGCCCCACCCGGGCTCTACAGAGGGTGCAGGGCGCAGGTGGCCTCCAGGCAGAGGGCACTATGTGTGCTGCCTGAGAGAGTACAGCATGTTCCCACAGAGCTTCCATATGGGCCTACCCCAGACCCATCTTGAGGTAGCCAGAAAGGAGAAGGCAGTTCAACCTAAGCATGGGGAAAACAGAGTCAGAAGAGAGGGTCTGAGAGGAGGAAAGAGCCAGAGCTTCCAGGAAACGAGAAGAGACCTAAAGTCTAGAACAGACTGGTGGCCCCAGCTCATGCACAGTAACCATGGGGAGCGACATCCCTAGGTCTGACTTTTGGGGGACACCCCAGCTTATGCACAGTAACCATGGGGAGCGACATCCCTAGGTCTGACTTTTGGGGGACATTAGCCCTGCCATGGGTGAGTGGGGAGGAAGTCAGTAGACTATTTTTTTTTTTTTTTTTTTGAGACGGAGTTTCACTCTTGTTACCCAGGCTGGAGTGCAATGGCGCGATCTCGGCTCACCGCAACCTCCGTCTCCTGGGTTCAGGCAATTCTCCTGCCTCAGCCTCCTGAGTAGCTGGGATTACAGGCACGCACCACCATGCCCAGCTAATTTTGTCAGTAGACTATTATTGGGGGAACGTAGGGGCACCTGGTCCCGTGCAGCCCATAAAACTGGAGGGTTACAGGACGTGAGTAATAGGAAGTTTTTTCTAGTGGGGATATGAGAGGGAGCAGGGAGACAGACTGGAAGTGGCCTGGGTAGAGGTTCTCACCTAGGTGATTCTTGAGTTGAAGACAGAGAAAGTGAGTTGTTTTTTCCTATTACTAACCAGTAGTGGCCAGGCACAGTGGCTTACGCCTGTAATCCTACCACTTTGGGAAGCCATGGTGGGAGAATCACTTGAGCCCAGGAGTTTGAGACCAGCCTGACCAACGTGGTGAAACCCCATCTCTACAAAAAAATACTATATATATATATATATATATATATATATATATATAATACATATATAGTACTTTATTTTTATATATATAGTATTTTATATATATAGTATTTTTTTTTAATTTATTATTTTTTTTTTAAGACGGGGTTTCACCATGTTGGTCAGGCTGGTCTTGAACTCCCGACCTCAGGTGATCCACCCATCTTGGCCTCCAAAGTGCTTGAATTACAGGCGTGAGCCACCACGCCCCGCCAGTATTTTATTTTTATATATATAGTATTTTTATTTTATATATATATAGTATTTTTATAATATATATAGTATTTATATATATATTTATTATATATATAGTATATATACACTATAGTATTTATATATAATATATATAATATTTATATATATAGTATTTTTATTTTATATATATAATTGTGTGTGTGTGTGTGTGTGTGTGTGTGTGTATATATATGTATGTATGTATGTATTAGCTGGGTGTGGTTGCATGTGCCTGTGGTCCCAGCTACTTAAGAGGCTGAGGTGGGAGGATCACCAGAACCCAAGAGGTCAAGGTTACAGATAGCTGTGATCACACCACTGCAGTCCAGCCTGGGTGACACAGTGAGACTCTGTCTCAAAAAAAAAAAAAAGAAAAGCTGGGCATGGTAGCTCACTCTTGTAATCTCAGCACATTGGGAGGCCGAAGCAGGAGAATCACCTGAGGCCAGGAGTTCGACACCAGCCTGGCCAACATGTTGAAACCCTGTCTCTACTAAAAATACAAAAATTAAGCTGGGCATAGTGACGGGCGCCTGTAATCCCAGCTATGCAGGAGGCCGAGGTAGGAGAATCACTTGAACCCAACAGGTGGAGGTCACAGTGAGCTGAGATTGCACCACTGCACTCCAGCCTGGGTGACAGAGCCAGACTCCATCACACACACACACACACCAGTAGAAAGTGAGATGTTTTGAGAGAGAGTGGAGAGCTGAAGCCCAAATTAGAGTATAATAAAGTCAACCTAGGCCAGGCACGGTGGCTCACGCCAGTAATCCCAGCACTTTGGGAGGCCAAGGCGGGTGGATCACGAGGTCAAGAGATTGAGACCATCCTGGCCATGGTGAAACCCTGTCTATAAATAAATAAATAAATAAAAATAAAGTCAACCTGAGCTCCATTCCCTCTGTCTGCCCAGGGCTGGCAAAGGCTGCAGGCATTGTGATGGATGACAGGTGGTAAATACCTATGCATCTTCTGTCTAAACTTTGTAATGGCTGGCAGCCAGATTAACTGCACCAGATCATTATCCACACCCCCTGCTGGGTAGAGATGCAGCTGCACCAGGCACCACAGTTGCTGAACCAGGTGCTATACACCATGCCTAAGCTCAGCTGGGTCCCCAGCCCTAGCTGACCGGGCTGTGGGGCTGCAGGTCAGGGTATCCCACGGAGCATGTCTGCTCATCTGTAAGCATTAAGCAAGAGTTAAGAAGTAAAAATGCTTGTGAAATATAAGTCCACTATCAGGTGGGCATGGTGGCTCACACCCATAATCCCAGCATTTTGGGAGGCCAAGGCAGATTACTTGAGGTTAGGAGTTTGAAACCAGCCTAGCCAACCTGGTGAAACCCCATCTCTGCTAAAAATGCAAAAATCTGGCCAGGCACAGTGGCTCACACCTGTAATCCCAATTACTTTGGGAGGCTGAGGCGGACATCATGAGGTCAAGAGATCAAGACCATCCTGGCCAACATGGTGAAACCCCATCTCTACTACAAATAGAAAAATTAGCTGAGTGTGGTTGCACAAGCCTGTAGTTCTAGCTACCCAGGAGAATGAGGCAGGAGAATTGCTTGAACCCTGGAGGTAGAGGCTGTAGTAAGCCAAGATAACGCCACTACACTCCAGCCTGGTGACAGAGCAAGACTCCGTCTCAACAAATAAATAAATAATACAAAGACAAAAATTAGCCAGGTATGGTGGTGTGCCTCTACAGTTTCAGCTACTCAGGAGGCTGAGGCAGGAGAATCGCTTGAACATGGGAGGCAGAGGTTGCAGTGAGCTGAGATCGTGCCACTGCACTCTAGCCTGGATGACAGACTGTCTAAAAGTATATATATACAAACACACACACACACACGTATATATGTCCCCTGTAAATAGCTGTCAATCCCCTATGCTGCACTATTGTGGGGAAGATGGAAACCTGACTGGCTCTCTGAGGCAGTCTGCAGAAAGTGGGCTTTGCTTGTGGAGAGGCATAGGAGGCTGTTGGAATATGGGAGGATCATGGTCTCTGAATTTTCCCACATAACGTCTCACTAATTCTGCCCCTCCGTGTCCTCTCCTGCTTCCCTTCTTCTCATATCTTGGGTACCCTCTGCCCTTTTATTGCTCATACTTTTCCGTTGTGATACAATTCCACCTAAGAAAACCAAATACTTGGAAGAGAATGGGGAGGTTGGAAAACAAGACTCATTAGGCAGGCCTTCTGGGTGGTGGTCAGGCCTTGGAGGTGGGAACACCAACATTTCCCTATGACTTCTGCCCAAGTGAATAAAATGGTACTTTAGATCTAGAGCTTCCTGCAGAGCAGACAAGTGAATTTTCCTGCTGTTGGACAACCAGGAAGAACCTTGAAGCTCTAAATTAATCCTTTCTGCCAGCTCTGTGAAGATTCTGAATCCTTTAAATATTTTTCCTTTGCCAGCTGGTATAATGTTTGTGAATAGAGGATACTAGAGGAACATTTCAGGAGGAACCATTACTTCCTTGTTCTGGTGGGTCCCAGAACATGACTTCAGGACTCATCTCCAGCAGTGCCTAGCAGCCAGTAGTACTCTGTGGTCGGCAGCTTCAGGCTGTTTCATAAGGGATGCCTCCTGTGAGCCACCTTCGATACACAGCTTTCCCAGGCACTCTAGAGGGTAGAATTCCTGTAAGTTCTGGAAGGCAGATTTCTGGCACGTTCCACCAGCACGGAATCACAGCAACTTTCGTGTCATTCAGTGAGCCACAGCCATGCCCTTTTTTCTTTTTTTCTTTTTCTTTTTTTTTTTTTTTTTTTG